ATAAATTGTTTTTATATAACACTCAATACTCTTTTAGTTTAATAAAAAATTGAGATTTTCACTATAGTGACTATACCAATAATTTACCTCATGAAAGACATTCTTGTAAAGATCACTGACCACTAAATAATAATAGACAATGCAATAATAATAATAATAATAATAATAATAATAATAATAATAATAATAATAATAATAATAATAATCCGTAAGAAAATCTATTCATTTTAAAGACTGTTCTAAGCTAAGTGAATGAAACTGCCGTGTTCTGAACCTGTAACACCATAAAATTGTATATTTTATTACATAATCTTATATTGTTTTTTGTTAATATTTTTTTGTATGTATTTAAGAACTACCTTGGTTAAATCTCTTTGGACTGTGGACGGGCAATTGTACATCTAATAAGATGAAAATTTGTAATCAAGAGATTTTAAACAAGTGCAATCTTTGTGAAGGGGGCCATATAAAATAAGTAGAGTTCCTTGATGGTTGTATTTAAATAATCCCTTACTTATAAAAAATTATATACACTTTGATTCAAGACATATAAAACGTAGTAAAAAAGTTGAAAAAATGAACAATCAAACTTTAAGTTAAATAAAATTTTTGGGAGAACATAAACACAACCATACTAACAATTTCATAAATTTTATATGTAATTACACGTTGGGAAATGTTTAACAAAGCAGTAAAAAAAACAAAAACAACCTGAACTATGTAGTGTTACTGTTTTAAATGCATATGCTATGTTATACTTTGTCAATTACATGTGTTAATTGTAAGGTTCATAATAAGCAAGACAAAATATTTCTGAATGTACGTTTTTCAAGAAAATGAATTTTAGAACATTCTATAATGGCATGTTTGTTACTCGGAAAAATCTCTTTTAAGCTCATAAGCACAAATGTGTCACTTGGGTGTGAAAACCTGTGACATGGAAGCAAAACTGAAGACATTCTGTATTGTGGTTTGTAGTTCTTTTCCTACCTCACAGCCTTCTGGTAAGCATTTGTGGAGAACTATGATATTTAATCCAGGTAACATTATAACACCATCAAAACAATGCTGACTAGTGTTGATTTATGTATTTATGAATCATATATTTGAATCCCTCAATCTACACTTGATAATAATAATAATAATATCACTATTCTGAAATGTGACCTTTAACTTCTAAGTTTTACAACAACATTGAATCTTTGGTTAAACATTTAAACTGCAATTCAAAAGAGATAAATTTGGTGAATATTGGTTTTGTGAAGGAACATTTTGTAATAACAAAAGTAATGTTTTAGGAAAGCCTCCAGCTGTTAACTGATTTAACTAACAAGCAATTAATGTCAATTTGCAATAGGCAGCTATATATGTCGGAACAGCAATAATATATATTACAAATGTGCCAGCAGTTGGTTCAGCACTTGTGGATTATTTTTGGAATTACCAAGAAAATGGATATTATAATGCAATTACCTATGTACAGACTTACTGAGCTTTTAAAACACGAGTGTTTGTATTATCACGACAGTCACACATTCACCATCTGGAAATATTATCTACTAAAAATGAAGATAGGTTGATTGTTGTAATGCTATTTCTGCTGAATCAACATCTTCCTTAGAACTTCAAATAAAATATGGCAATTGTTTGCATAAAAACATTTAAAAAAAGAAATAGTTTATCAAACATGATAATTTTCTTTACCATGTAATATCACATATGTAATGGACTCTACGAATCATGAAAGAAGTTTGAAAAAGATATGCAGAACTGCATATATACGTATACAACCTTATTCGTGGCACAATATGTGGACCCTACAGGTAAACAGCTATTGAAAATCAGTTAAAAATAGTTTTATCACATTGTGGGTCACTAGAATGACTTCCAGAAACGTGGGAGGGAGGACTTGGAAGTGACTAGGTATCATTCCACACATCACAACCTGAGCACAACGCTCGCATTAAATGTGTCCAGAAGAATCTATAAGAAAATGGAATGGTAACGATACAATACACTTAAGTTAATTTGAAGAAGTGATGTAACCAGCAATATGACCTTTTCAATTTCAGGGTTTTAGAAAAAAAATGTTTCTACATTTTGAATTCTCATGACCAACAAAGCAGAACTTATAAGAGAAATGTGGATAATGTTAATTATAACAGTATTAGCTGTATTCATGCCTAGGGTTTCAAATAAAATATGGCAACCATTTGCATAAAAGTACTTAAAAATAATATTCTTTATCAAACATGATTATTTAAAAAAAATGAAATATATAATATTTCATACCATTTAAATGGGTTAAAGTAGGGTAGTAAAGAAGCTTATTCTTAAACAGTGAAAGTCAACATATAATTGTTTTATGTAACATTAACACGTGGGGGTAGGGCCATGAGAATGTGTCCATTTTGTCTCTACACTATCAAAAAAAAATTTATAAGCCACCCCTTGACTCAGATGGTAAGTGTTGATGTCAGGACAAGAAAGAGGGAGGAAGTGAAATACTTCCTAGAATGTTATTAAATGATTAGGTAGACTGAACAGTTACTGAATTGAGACAAGGGATATATTAAAAATTTATCTTTTGCAGGTACATGGAGGAAACAGACCAATTCTCCTGGGCATGCCCATATGATACAAAATTTCAGTTATTTCTAATAATCTGTTTCCTCCCCCTGATTTTGTAGTCATCTTGCTTTTCATCCAGCTGTGCTAATTTTTATACTATTTTCACAATGTTTGTTGTCAGGCAGTTCAATAGAAAAACATTTAGTTTTATCCAGAAAATTTGTAGAACACAAGTGAAAAGAATTATTGAAATGTTCTTGATTTTTATCTTTCTTATTTCAGGAAAAATAAAACAGTATGTAATGAAACATGTTAGATTTCTGGACACTTGTTTATTAAATTTACACCCAGCAAAGCCCTGATGCTTCATATTTTTAGATATCTGTTCAATACAAAGATTTTTTTATGAATTCTTCAAGAAATTAGGAGTTAATTTTTTCACAGGAGAAACTTTGTTCAAAAATTCAAAGCAAAATTACAAAAAAAATCTTGTGATATATGTACATTGTAACTTTTCTTTCTAATAATATGTATTTTTTAAGATTATATATATATATATATATATATATATATATATATATATATATATATATATATATATATATATATATATAAAAAATTGTATTTGTATATATAATATACAAATAAATATAAGGAAATTAATGTTTTGTTTTTATGTAAATAAAAAGAAAATGATTTCATTTATCATCCAAATTAAAGTTAAAGTCTCAGACAGAATGAACAACCTTTATTTTATGTCCTGGAAATGATTTTCATATAAAAAATAGAAATTAAATTAAGTGCTTTGCTGGATGCTGTTTTATGTGTTTAAAATTAAGCTTAAGGGACCTACAAGAGGTCAATAGTATCTTCATTTCTACTTGGCACAATTAAAATGCAAAATTAAATAGTACTAACTTATCTGTTGCTCAACAGCATGGTTACAAATTAAATTATCATCACATCAGATATGGCTGCATGGAATTGTAGAACTGTCCAATAATGTGTTTCATATGGAGGCCTTCTTCTAAACCATAGTTTTAAAACTGAACAAGAATCTGTTTTGTGCAAATGCAATTCATAGCTGAGAGATAGCTCAAATATAAAAGAAACTAGATGACAAAAAACACAGGACAAGATAAGGTTTAAAGAAGACCAAAATGGACGATGAGATTTGAAAATGCAAGAAACAACAACATTCATTTATATTTGAGTTACATAAAACAAATTTAGAAGCATTAAAAAAAGGATCTGTTCAGTAATATCTTTCAGAATACATTAGTTGTATTCTCATTTGTATGGAATACTAAAGTTAAAGATTGTTTTGAATGTAATGAATGCAAAATATAAACTACACATAATACTCGTGCAACAAATCATAAGGACGAAAACAATAGACCATCCAAAGAGCGTCAACAATCCATACAGCCTTCACAACCTCTGGGTGACCACTCAATATTTAAATCATTTTAGGATGTACATCACAAGAGCATAGGACTGAAATGCTGGATTTTAATACATATTCTTATATCATTCTTAATGGAAGCACCAGCTTGATAGATACATGGCCCTATTCAGGAGCCATAAGTATGAATTAAAATTGTATAGCCTTTAAACCGTCGTGGTTTGACTCTGAGAGCGCAGACTTCTGTTGCCGGAGTCCGTAGCTGCTTCGCTGCCGTGGAGACGTCGCTCCTAGTCCCAGGCACAGATGCCAGCGTTTCGCCCTGAGCCCATCTTTGCTTAGGACGCGGCGGTGTCTCTGCTCTGGGTCAGCCAATCGTGGGCTTCGGCGGTGATGGCTCTCGGCTGCCCGGACGAGGCTGCGTGATACCGTGGCCTTCTTCAGAGCTGGAGAACGCCTAGATTGGTGGGCGTTCGTTTTTTTATTCCGTGTGGCTAAGCTAATTTCTTTTGACCGGGACTGTTCCATGCCGTCCGACCCTTTCGTTTCCCCACGCCACCACCCGGTCCCGCCTGTCGGCTAAGCAGCCAACCAAATTCTGGTCCCTACACAACCCCACAGTATAAAAATCTGAGCACCCACACTGCAGCCCTGAGGAGGCCCACGATACGAAGGTGAGCTATAACAACTAAAAATTAATAACTTGCCTTAACTAGTGAGAGCTGAAACGGGCACATGTAAATGAGTTTCTAAACAAAATAAGGTTAGGTAAGTTAACATTTTTAAGGTAGGCCGCTGCACAAGCCCAAGCGGCTGCTGTCCCAAATCGTTACCCCGACATTTAATGATTTCCAACCGCTGAAGAGCTACAGAAGAGGGGACCCCCCTCCCCTCCAAAAAACGGTAGAAACGCTGCCTTGACAGGCTTGGACGCGGCGACATCCGGGCAGCCAAGAGCGCCCTCGAGACGCGGGAGCCTACGACAGCCTTGACTCAGCAGCCCAGCCCTGAGGAAGGGTGGCGCTTAGAGCGAGGCCTGGGGCGGGCTGACGAGGTCGGCCGTGTCGATGCGTGCCTGGCGCAGCCACTCGCGCAGGCTGCGCGTGCGCTCCACCAGCGACTGCTCGCCCGCGCCCGCGTACGGAGGGCGGAAGGCCGGCACCCGCGCCCCGGCCAGCGGCGGCCAGCCCAGCTCCGGGTACACCAGCGGCGGCGGCGGCAGGGCTGCGCACACACATCAAGTGACAATCAAACCACCGTAATCAATCAGCGGACTCGTCGACCAACAGATTGACAATCAACACAATCATCCATCGAGAATCAACATTTTGACAATCAACAGACACAATGAACACAATCATCAATCGACATTCAACAGACTATCATCAATCAACTGGCAATCAACACACTACCAACCAACACGATCATCCTCACCAATCAACACAATCATCCATCTCCAATCAACAAAAATAATCATTCAATAATCATCAATCAACTGACAATCGTCAACCAATAGACAATCAACAGACGAGATATAGATCACCAAGGGCTCTAACAATAACGACCGAACACTACCAAGAACTTGTTCCGACCACAAGAACGGTTCCTCCTCCCTTCCTTCCCCCACTCGTCGCCCAGGCACAAGGCGGCCCATCCTCCAGACCTCGATGCCGGTCCCAACAGGGGGAGAGTGGGCGGTACACCATGAAGAGAACCACAAGGAAACGGTCACAGGAAACAACACAACTCTTGGCGGTGCCAGTGACAATTGACAGCAGTGCCAGATTGTACCATAATTTAAACCTACAAACATACCTGTACCACTATACCATTATTGAACCATAATTTAAAAAATATTTATAGAAACATTTTTCTAAATATGAAATTTAGGCATTCGATTTTGCTCCCACCGCTTTCCTTAACTTGTATCATAATTACACTATAAAATTACCAAATTTATTATTATTATTATTATTATTATTATTATTATTATTATTTCTCTAATTCACGACTAAAGATGTTACGAGTCGGTTGATTATAAAGTATTTTATAAATATAATAATTATATTAATTACCTTAGTTTTTTTGTTAACTGCCCCGACAGGCATTCAATTTAACGAGGTAAATCTAAATCATCGCAAATGTGCTTCAGGACCCTGAGCAAAGACAGGAAATGCGATTCTAGTCCACTTTTGAAAATGAAAATAAAAAGTTTCTTGAATAAAAAATCACTTACTTTAAAAAAAGTTCAATGTATTAATAAACACTTACCGCTCCTGAGGGTTCCTTCCTTCTGTTGTTTGTTCAGCACCTCCCAGATCTCTCGAATCTCAGAGTTTAAGTTTTCCAGACTCTGAATTATCTCATTCGACTCTTGGTAGTGCATTCCTCGGCCCACAGAACGACCTGCAAAATGATACTATTACACGACGAGAAAACGACAACTTTAAAATCTGTGAGAGGGGCGAATAAAATTGATTGACACAAGGAGTTTCATCAGCGAAGGCCAATATTCTCGTAAGTGTAGTGCGCGTAATTTTATCGCGGAGGTGGCAGAGATCATTGTCCGCTGGATGGTGATATCCGCGGAATTTTCCCCAAACAGGTACCTCCCACTGGCATGATTCCGCCCCAGTCGGGACAACCCTTAAGCTCCCGACCGGTCTCCCGGCATGTGTTTTACTATAGTGCGTGTAAATGTGCGTTTCAAGGTACGATGGCGCGCGTCCTGTTTGTGTGGTGCTCAGGAACTCGCGTGGGGTCGATGGGAGCAGCTCACTGAAAGGCCCGTCGGTACCGAGATGGATGCAGCTGAAAGCGCGTGTTGTTGGCCTGTGCTCGCCGAGGGGCGTGTCGGTGGCGAGGTGGGCGCTGTTGAAGCCGCGTGAGAGTGGCGTTGGCTCACCGAG